AAAGAGACCCTAGAAGCGTCTCCAGAGTAGACACCGTCCACTCAGAAAGAGACCCTAGAAGTGTCTCCAGAGTAGACACCATCCACTCAGAAAGAGAAACTAACATTTAACAAAAGTCATGTCTCTAATTTCAGTATATATGAGTTGTCCTATGAGTATGTTTTGTTTTTCAAAATAGTGGAAAAGTTTTTAATTTCAAAAGAAAGTCACAGTTAAGGATGGAGATGAGATTTTCCTCAATGGTGTATTTTTAAATTTGTTTTTTCACACCTCTTTGGGTAGTTAGGTTTTGTGATTGTGTATAAAATGAATCCCCGTGGCCCGTGGATTTATTTCCATATATGACTCTGGGTCTGGTAGTTAAAATACTAGTAATATTAAAGCGTTCCAGTGATTTCCAGTTCTGTGGCTCTCTGAATGCCAAATCCCTGATTTAAGTCATTGGAAGGAGGATGTTTAATTCTAAAAAAATGATCTCCTTCACACTTCATTTTTTTATTTGCTGTTAAGGTATGAATAGAATTGAGGGAAAATTAATCCTCCTCTCCCACACACAAGCACACATACTCTCACATAGATACCTCCATGTTACATAGAATATCTGGAGAATAAAAAGCAAATCCAAAAAATATTATCACTGCAATTTTATTTTTTAAGTTAAAAAATGAAAAGAAAAGGAAACGTGTGATGTCTGTATGTTGTATTACACTGTGGATTTAAAAAATAAGCATATGGGTGAAAATGAGAGTGATCTTAATTCAGAAAAGCAACTGACTGCTAGAAAAAGCATTTGCACAAATAAAATAAGTTTGGTAAAGAAAAGAGAAAAAAATTCCATTGTAAGCCATATGTCTGAGCATGGTTAGGCTCATTAATCCGTGCACATGGCGTCTTTTGGAGAGAAGGGTAAGAATTTGTACCTGGTGCTAGAGATAGAACCTTTAGATAATTTTCAGAATTTTTGCCTAATATTTAAATGAAATTCAAGATCTGAGTGATGCCTGGCAATAAACTATGGGCATTGATTCTAAAAGCATTCTAGTTTGAAACCAGGGGAGAAATAATTAGGGATTTCTTTCAACTGGGACTCAATTCCTAAAATGCCAGAGAAGAATAACCCGAAATCCTCACTGGCAGATTTATAAATAGATTACATTCTAATTTTGCCCAGCACACACTGGTGGTCAGAGGTGACTATTACCAGTAATACATCTGAGTACAACTAAGTGGGAGAGGTGGTTTCAATGAGCTCAGCACCCTCACACCCACAAGATGCCAAAGCAAAAACCACACTACAAACAGGCTTATACTCGGCCCCTGAAAACACTTCATGCTGTTGACACCGCTGGACTTGAAAATTATCCCTTCTGCTGACGAGACTCTCTGCTCCCTTTGAACGTAACTAAACCAAGAAACTGTTAGAAGGTTCTAGAAACAGACGCTGTGTGTGACTTGGAATCATAGGTACAGTACAGAGCATGACAACAGGCAGCTTGAAATAGCCCCTGCTCATTTAGCAGTTGGTCATTTTCATAACTACGTGAAAACATCTTGAATCCAGAGGCAAATGATAGTTCTGCTCTTTCAAGAGGCTAAGTAACATTTCGAGTGAGAAACTCCTTTTAAGCAAGAAATAAATTGTACATCATGATTAAGATGATAAATATTTTCATCTTTAAATATGAAGTTTAAATTCACATTGTGATTAGTAAAAAGCACTTAGGGCTTGATTACTGATGTGATGTCACTCTTATAATATCAGAGGGAATTTGTTACTCTTTTTTGGTTGCTGTTTTTTCCTATGAAATCTGGATGCCAGGCTTTTCTAACGGCTAACATTAAGGGTTTGATTCTTAAAATTTATGCGCTGTTGAAGCATGTGGCTCCTAGTCAAGAAGCTTTATAAAATTCCATGTAACATACACTTTTTTGCATTGAAGAGGTATTTCTATTTTTCAAATATTAGGTAAAACCAGTGTGCCAATGTCATAGGTAAATAAATCAGGAAAAATGTGGCACTATATGGCTGTTTTTAATTTAGTTTCACTCAATTTTGATTCTTGAAATAGTGATTTTTGTATTAGTGCTTTTGTATTCAACCCTGACTAGTCATAAGAAATGTAACATCATAAATTAGGTAGTACCTCTCCAGTGATAAATTTCTAAAAACCGCTTCAAGTTTCCAGAGTATCTTGAATTATCTGCAAATATACGTTTAAAACAATATAAATATCAGATCTCAGGGGAAATAAATAACAAATTAATAGTCACAGGGTTTTAGGGCTGAGGCTTCTTATCACCTGCTAGTAGAGACGGGTTGTTGGTCCATTGCAGTGGTCTTCCCCGTCGAAGGAGGTTTCTTTATTACTGATGAGTTTCTTGTCAAGTCAAAACCAATTCACAGTTGCCCAGCTGTTCTTTGGTTTTCTCCATTAATTCTTCATTTCTAGCACTGATTATATTAAAGTACAGGTGCATATTTGAAGCAAATGACTTGGACAGTCACAACTAGCTGTGGTGCTTTGCAGAGTTACAGATACGCACACGTTAATTCTGGCACATAAATGCTGAAAATTAAACCAGGACATACTTGAGACAGTGGCATAAACTCATCTAGGATTCAGAATTGTTCCAGGGTGATAGAAATCCTTCTATCAACCCTTTCAACCTATTAGAAGATTGATTGCTTTAACAGACTCTTTCAAAGATTGAGAAAGAATATACCCATGGGCCTGTAACATTATTATATGTGTAATCACATGAATGGGGAGGAAGTACAGTGGCCTTCTGTGTCTGTAACAGTCAGTACAGAGAAGAGCCCTTAGCCTGAGAAACAGCAAGTTTTAAAAGTTCAAGATATCATGAAGCAATGTCAGAGTTAGCCACTAAAATCCCTGTGACACCCTGTCCCCCTGTGAAGAACTCACACGGCAGGAAGGATGCCCAAACCAAGGATACCCAAATAATTCCTGCTCACTGGCTGGATTAAATGTTTCCTCATTTGTGTTAGCTGGGCACCCCATATTTCTCACCGTTTAACCTTAAATATGCCTTTGCTGACTCATGCTAAGCTCTTCCCACACCCTTTCCTGAATCCTTTTGCTTCCAAACAGCCCACTTTTAGAAGGCAGTAGGTCAGGTTTTAGTGTATCTCTCACTGGAACAGCTGTTTTCTCAGTATAAATCCGCATAACTCATACCTTTCACTTCTTTAGTGCCAAACTTCAGCCACTGGAGCTCATGGGCCTGTGGACACTAGGAGATAAGTAAAAGGTGTTGCTCTCAGGTGGTCAGAGGTGAGCTTTACAAATCTAGGTGTTTTATTCTCCCCACTCTCTGGCTGTATAACATGAAAAAAAATATATGTGTAATATAAGTCTATGTTCTTACGGAGACATCAGAAATATATGTCATCCTTGATTAGTTTAAATTTAGTTTCACCAAAAACACCTTTTTATTGAAATAAACCCTCTTAGGCAGACTTTTAATTAGGCAAAACAAAAAATTATGATTGTTAAGCTCAATTTAATAGGCTGAAAGGTTGCAAAGTGGGAAGGGGACTAATATTTATGTGTCATGAACTTTGCTTACACAATGCCTTTTAATATTCAAACTAAGACAGGGCAGATGTTATTAGCTTGATATGATAGATGAGTGAAACCCCCAAACAAAGCAGCTTAGCAGATTACCCAGAGTTAAAAGGTAGCATGTGATAGAATCAAAATCAAAACTCATTCACCTAAAAGCAGAAGGACTCGTACAGTGTTATTACCATGCTGTATTCTGAGAGAAGCAACAGAAATTAAGGAAGATGAAATATAATACAGGTTCAAAAAAAAAAAAACTAAATCCTATGTGGTAAACCAATTAGGGTTGACTGCAATTTGTTTTATTATTTATTTAGTGTTTATTAGAGAATTGATATGGCCTAAATACATCATTTTAAATTTCCTGCTTTTTCTACTTAATACAGATTATCTCAGATAATGGTAATTATATAATGGCTGAATTGTTTTAATGGGAGTCATTTTCTTGTGAAAATATTGACACATATTTCGTATTGTACAAAAGTATTGATACCCTCAGGTATAACATATTTTTCCCGAGGTTGAAGTTAGAAGAAAGGTGTTATTTTTTATGAATAAGTAATCCACATATTGGTCCCTGTTTCTTATGACTCAAAAGTAAAATGCCTTTCTTATAGAACATTATATTTAGAATTTTAGTGATTATCTCATTTATAGGATTATCTGAAGCTACTAGAAAAGATTATGAGATACAAATGATTTGTTTTATCTCTCCAGTACACATTCATTTTCCCCACCTAATACACCCTCCCTCACCCTCATTTGTCCAGTTTCTCTGGACAGCTTGTACTGTCATTCTCTCCTCTGTCCATTTGTTCCATAGAGACAACAGGTGTCATTGGTTCTGTCTTGTCCAACGAGACTCTGAAGTCCTGAGAATGGCGTGCTCTTTGCCTCTGTTCAGACAGTGCACTCCAGATGCGTTATATTCTTCATGGAGTCATCCTCGCTGCCGCCAGTGGGCTCATTTCTCCATGATTTGCAGAAACAACCACATTCCAGAGGCCAACTGTGCACACAAATCAGGCAACCCCTCTGACTGTCAACTTGAGGTTTCCTAGTGGAGAAAGTGCATAGAATCTAGAAAAAAAAATTGTTAATATGAGTTTTCCTTATGCAAAACTAAATATATAATTGAATGTGATTTTAAAGAATATTGAAAAACTAATCTTCCTGTCCTTGGGACTTACTGTCCTGGATGTTTCTACTTTTCTTAAAGTGCCTGATATCTTCCAGAAACAAACCTTAATCCTCACAGCATTGCACCATTGTATCTCTGATTCTGTAGCCTCTATCAATATAGTGGCATCACTGTCCACAAAACCAAACTGCATCAAAATTAGTAAGAATACAAACTAAAGTCACAATCGTGACTTTATTTATCTCTTTTTTGTTTAGGTTTGATTTCTTTATACCCCAGTTAAAAGCCAAGAGGCCCAGTTAGCAATAATTAATCAATGCTTGCACAATTGAAATAATAAGTCATCTTTCTTGATATAATTTAAAAAATGAATATTTTGCTGAGCTCAGGTCATTTTGTATACTTCTGATTTTCTTTCTTTCTCTGTCAATCGTTTGTACACTGTAGGTTTTGGTTCTTTGTAAGGTCCTGGAAAGTGTTCATTTTAATTTTCTCTCCCCTACTGCTTTTTCTTCACTTTAATTCACTTGGGGCAGATCTTGAAAGAATCGCTGTGTGCCGAGAATGGTGATTTTAACCTTGAGAGAAAAATAAACATCACAAAATGAATTTTTTTTTGCTTTTTACCTCCTCTCTCCTTTCCCTTCCTATCATTGTTTTTAAAAATTATTTTCCTTCCTTTGCTTTTTGTAATGTCTAGGTAGCTTCCTTTAGCACTTTTTTTATTAACTGAGGACTTTTTTAGTATGAGATTGTTGTTTCTTTGGCAGATTTAGTTTCACTTCCACTACTTGCATGATCTATGGGTTTTCCAGTCTTCACATAGACTTGTTAGTAAGATAGGCAACGTTCAGGAGTGTTCAATAGGCAATCGTTCAGCGATCATAAGTTAATTAACATTTCAGCAAATGTTAATCTATTTTTTACTGCCTGGATGAAACCGTATTTTTTTTGTTTCTCAGTAAATGTTAATGTATGTTTTTTACTCTCTCAATGAAAGAACATTTTTGTTTGTTTTTAATTCAACTGTGGCAAATAAGCTAGAGAAGCTTTGTGAGGAGATGATGGCAGTGAGCGCCCCATGAAGGCGTGAGAAGCTGGTGAAATGTTTGGTTCAGGAAAGCAAAACAAGGGGATTTTTATCACGCATAAATTTTAGTGTGAAATTTTAAAATATATTCTTTTGATTAAGACATGCTTTCTAATTTACTTGACTATGTGTCTGAAATAAGTTTTTTTGAGTGAGACCCACTTTATACAGCCCGTTCCATAGAGTACAGATTTCTGATATTCTGTTCAGTAGAGTTTAGTTTTCTTGTGCTTGCTTTCTATTTGTAACTAACATGAGTATTTCTAAATTTAGTGAAATAGGACATGTGAATTAAAATGTTTATTTTCTGAGCTTTAGGTGTAACTATTTTTATTTGTATTATATGTTGGTTTTGATATATTTATGTATCAAAGATGCAGTTAATTAACTCATTTATCTTCTCAACCTTCTAAGTAGTCTTGTTAGATATCTACATTTTTACAGTCAAGACAGATCAGATGAAGGTATTTGCCTAAACATATCATAAATGGAGGGTTGGAGACAGGACTAAATCTTGTGACTTCCAACATAACTTTTTCTCCATTGTGCTACGTACACTATTATGTTGGTAATGGTGACCTTTGTAAGTGAATAAAATATTTTCGTAGAAATACATGTAACACACTTTGATATAAAGCCTTTATATACTTTGCAAAATCATGTTTGCAGGCTTAATTTGAGGAATATTTGCTGAGTGCCACCGGGAGACATTTCTGGGTAAATTTGAAATAATAACTAGTGGGATTACTTATTTTTGCACAGTATATATTGTTACAGCAATATTCAAGTCTCTAAAAGATACCCACATGGTGTTAATAGAAATTGTGTGTAAATATGCTGTCCATTCATTTTATGCGTATGCTGATTTTTATTTTGGAGGTACCACTCCTTTATTTGTCTTCTAAAATTAAAGCATTTAATTCTTAAATTGTGTGCAAGAAAGTATTGCTGTTTTTTTTTTTTGTTTTTTTTTTTTTGAGACAGACCCTCAAGCTGTCCCCCTAGGTAGAGTGCCATGGCATTACAGCTCACAGCAACCTCCAACTCCTGGGCTCAAGCGAGTCTCCTGCCTCCACCTCCCAAGTAGCTGGGACTACAGGCGCCCGCCACAACGCCTGGCTATTTTTTGGTTGCAGCCGTCATTGTTGTTTGGCAGGTCTGGGGTGGGGATTCGAACCCGCCACCTTAGGTGTACGTGGCTGGCGCCTTAGCGGTTGAGCTATAGGCGCCGAGCCCAGTATTGCCGTTTTATAAGCTTGAGAACACCACTGCAATATTTCCCCATATAAAAATACGAAGATGGGTTAATAAGATGATTAAGATAAGATGTATCTCAGAAATTTTTGTTTCTTAAACAGTGTTTTCTTTCACCTACTTAAACAATATGAAAATGCACAGCAGGCATCTGACAACAGTGTCACCAGAGCTTCTTTTGTATTAGAATTATGCATATAATCTACCTTCATCCCCATCTTACCTAGATAGATATTATTGCTAGATTTTCCCCTTTTCATTCTCTTTCAGAAAACAAACAAAAAGTCACTCCTACATTAAAAAAACCGTGATCCGTTCTCAATAGTTGGTTGTTTCACCCATCAAGGACAGTTACCCTAAAGACACATTTTAATAAATCTTGGATGAACTGGCGTGTCACAGTGAAATCTTTCATGACTAGCAGGCACCCTAAACCTAGCGGTAGTGAGTGACGTTTTTTGTTCAGTCCAGCCAAGCCGACACCCACGCAGTAAGCTGGCGTCATAGTTCTGACAGGTGTCTGGCCTCCAAGCTGCAGAGAGTGCACCAACTAACACCAGGCTGCTTCTTCGTAATCAAGACAAAATCGAGATCTTACGTTAATCAGATGCGAGTCAGATACTGTAATTCCCATTGCAGCTGACAGTGCCAGGTCTTTTCAAATATTTGCTATAATTGACATTTGACTTGAAGGTTCTCATAAAAGTATTTTACCCCATCTATGTTAAAACAGTGTGTTAAATATTTCCTAAAATGAACAATTCCCATTTCTGAGAAACTTTTGAAGTCATTTTTATTTTCTACTTGTTACAAGAATGTTTTTTTCTCATGCAAATGTTAAATTGGAGCAAATGTTAAAAATAAGGTTGTTGAGAGCAAAGTTATACATGATAAGCTGTTGTTAGTGACCTAGAAGGAAGGCATCCCTGGGTAACAGCTATCCCTAACTTCTGTAAGAATTCTTTGGCTTGGCACCTGTGGCTTAAGCGGCTAAGGTGCCAGCCACATACACCTAAGGTGGTGGGTTCGAATCCAGCCCGGACCCGCCAAACAACAATGACAGCTGTAACCAAAAAATAGC